TTCAGGAAAAATATTCAGTTAGGCTTCCGCTTTTCCAAATCCGAATTGCCGGGCCTTACGCTTGACCCCTGCCATCAGATTTTGTACAGCCACCTTGTCCACCTTCTTCGCCGCAGAAAGCCAGTTTGCCTTGAACTGCTGCTCGCCCTTAGCAGTTTTTTTGGTCTTCTTTAGGTTCCGCTTGACAATAGCCCAGTATTTCTCAATTGGGCGGAGCTCCGGCGTGTTGGGAGGGTTCTTGTCCTTGGGAACCACCTGCACGTTGTTGGCGGCGTACCACTCCATGGCCTTTTTACCGTAATGGCAAGATGCCAAATCCGGCCAAAACAGTACGGAACAACCGTGTTTCTTCAGGAAAGGCAGCAGACGTTTATTCAAACACTCTTTCACGTAAATTTCTTGGTTAACAGTCCCGGAAGCTATGAAAATGCTGCTTTTCAAGCCACAGGTACAGATGGCTTGCCAAACCAGATATTTCTTTGCGAACTTTGACAGTTTCATGAGCTTGAAAACATCTGCTACCTTTCCCCTTCCTTTTGCCGTATAAAACTCCTGTCCCGGAAGCTGCTTGTAGTCGGCTTTGACGTAGGTTTCGTCGTCCATTACCACGCAGTCAAACTTCGTCAGCATCGTCGTGTACAGCCTCCGGGATCGCGCTTTGGCCGTCGTATTTTGTTTATCATCGCGATTTGGAGTCACTACCTTCTTGTAAGTCGATAGTCCGGCTCTTTTTTTGGCTCGATGCACGGTTGTAGACGATACACCCAGCTTATTTGCGGCATCTCGGAGAGAGAGGTTAGGGTTTCGCTTGAAACTACCGGCAACTCTCTTTGTCGTCTCAGCGGCTTCCGGTTTTCGATTTCCCCCCGATCCAGACTTCCTGGCTGTCGACAAACGTTCCCCAAACACTTTAATTACATTTGTAACGGTTGATTTGGCAACTTTTAGCGATTTTGCCAACTTTGCGTGCGAGTAGCTCGGATTTTCGCGATGCGCGAGCAAAATTTTGATACGCTGCTCTTCTTGCTTGGACGGCATTTTGACAACTGAAGAGTGAATTCCAAAATCAAAATAGGAGCAACATTCTACACACACACACCTTCAAAATGAGGGGTGTTCAGGTTTTTTAAATGCAAAATTGAAAGAAATACGTCAAGTTGATATTGACCAAATTTTGACCGTATCACCCTTTAAGAGCAAGACGGATATCTATTACTGGACAGATAGTAAGTAGGAAATAATTAGTCTCGCCCAGATAAAGACATATCCCGCTCCTACAGCTACAGTTAAGGATTGCCCTGGCCACGTCCTTACAACTGGTAGGGATAGGAAAGGCGCATTAGTCCAATATTTTAGAAAATCTACGAACTTAAGCGAATTTCCAAAGTTCCTTAAAATGAAGCGAAGATCCCTGATGTTCTTAGAAATTTGCTGAACTTTATCGATTTTTTCTGATCTACGCAATCTCCAGAAGTGTTCAAGGGGGAGAGGTAGCTCATCGATTCTTCCGGTTCGCCTCCTAGCATCGTGCTATAAGGTACCAGGCGATAACCAGGGTCGTTGATCGATAGCTCGATGACGTCATTTCGTTGGCGTCTGCAATGGGAAATTCTCATAGCAACTATCGTGGTAACTCACCGATTACCTGTCGATCCGCCAAATTTGGAAAGACGTCTGCATTGAATTGTCTCATATAATAATATTCCGCCCACTATATCACAAGAAATTGCGAGTAGCTGAGTGGAATGGAGATAAGTTAAGCATTGGGTACAGGACCAAGTCTCCCCTGGGTGGTGCCAGAAGATGAGCACAATAGAATCATCAAGTTGCCATAAGGCACGGAATGAGACTATTGCATGGCTGGGTAGTCAAAGTCTTCCATTCGTTAGTCATTTATGGTGGATTAGAACAGGTTTAGGTGGGCGTTGGCCAGATTTGGATTTTTCAGATGTAATCCTGGATAGGACCCTGTCATTGAACGTCGCGTGGAAGTGGAACTTAATGAAGGCCTAAGTACTTTTTCGTAGTTTTTAGTTTTCGGATTTGAAAGATCGTCGGTTACAGTGGCCTGCTTAGTGAGCAGAAAAACGCGGTCCCAGGTCCTTACATATCAAAGAGATTTATGGTAAAATCGCTTGTGTATCGTGTATTTTGCGAAACTCGTTGTTGTCGTTGGTTTCGGGTTTGAATGGATACACAAATTTGAGCAACGGTATTATGTGATATGAGGGGCTCGGTGGCCTTAGAGCAACCGCTTTTGCTTACTGAGCAGAACATCATGAGTCTAATCTCAGGCCCATCCACATTCAAGATTCGTCAATCGTTTTATTTGTTAATATGACTACATGGTAATAACAGCAACTCGGTGATTAAAAAGGTGCTCGTCTGCCTAGTGGCAAACGTTTTTGATTACTGAGCAGAAGACCGTGGGTTTAGTCCCAAGCTCCTTCGCGTTATATGATCGTTAGGGCATCAATTCAGCTTATCGTTTACCAAAACGAACCCTGCTGCAAACCCAACCCTCTTATCCAACATCCCAGTGATTCCTCGGGGAAGTGCAGAGGTGTTCTCGGCTTCCATCAAAGCGAGTGTCATGTCAACACAATCCTTCCCATTCCTTTCTTGACCTGTGTTCGGGCGCGGCCGGCGCTGGTATTGCCTAATTTAAGATCACCAGTTTTTACACATTGAGGATGATTGCTAGTCCCAAGCATCGTCTATTGGTTCTCTGTGTAATTACAGCTGATCTGGCAGCAACAGAGTAGCAACCGTGGGCGGTCAATCAAGCTCAAGCTCAAGCTGAAGCTCTACGCAATCTCCAGAAGTGTTCAAAAATTCCCTGTTCTTCAATGAAATTTACGTAGTTCCTCGAATTGCTACGTAATTTGCTTAGCTCATACGTAGATTTTTGCACTACTACGAAGTTTGCTGTTTTTTTGTGTTGCTCGTGGTTTTCCGCAAAGTTTTACGAAGTATTCCGAGCTTTAACGAAATTCCCTGAAATATCAAAACTCCATTAAACTTCACTAAACTTCTACAAGATTCCCTGCATTTCTATGAAGTTCACTGAAGTGCTTCTACTAAATTTGCTGTTCTTTTTGGAGCTTCCTGAACGTTGTTTCTTGAACTTCTACGAAGTTCCTTGAAATTATAGATTGTTCCCCGATCTACTAAGAAGTTCCCTGAAATCAAAGACGCTATTTTATAAATCTGGATGTGAAGACATTTGAAGACATTGCGTCCATCCCGAATAAGACATTTTCTAAAAACAACTGGCATCCCTGTGTTATATTCGCACTACATTAATCATCTCGATTCACCATCAAAAGTGCATTCTCTGTGTTCTCAACCATGTATAAACAGAAGAAAAAAAAATACAAATCAAATCAACCGCACTTAATTTAGCTGGAAATCAAGGTCACTGTCGTACGACTCCGCTACAACGACATCATCGTTCTTACCCTTTCCGGGAATTTTCAGCTCAAGTTGTTCGCGTTCCTACTTCCTTCCTTCCCTGGTGCACCTTCCTTCCCTATTCTGGCCTGCCCCAACCGCGATTAAAAATATGCAAATGCAAGCAAATCGCAAAATTGCACTCGGCCTCGCACCGTAATGTACCTTAGTGCAACATTAAACGAAATGAAAATTTTACAACGCTGGCAACGATTATAATGCGCTCTTGTTGTGCGCAAATTTGTGTAAGCCTGATGCAGTAGTGCTGATGGCCAGGTTCCTTCAGGATGCTTGGAAACACACATCACGACGTGGCCTCAATTTCGTCCGGGAGTGCAATCTTTGATTCGATCTCGACAGTTAATAATCAAGATTAGCTCACATTCGTTATCACCTTACTGAAAGAGGATCCTAGGGGTCATAGGCGCTGTTCTAAATCAACTATCGATGTTTGTCGATCACATTTGTAAATATGTGATAGGAATAGAACTAGTCTTCAACATCTTCCTGGAAAAGCTGGACTTGCTCTAGTGTGCTGGCGTTTAGTCAGTGCATTGAACGGGGGTACGACTTTCATTTTACAATGTTGCCGGGTTAATCATGATCGTTTATTGAAACGATCACGATTGATTGGAAACATCGAAATATTTCCGCTGAACTGCATTATTCATCGAGCTGAGCAGCGTAGTGAAATAAATTTGAACCGAAAACATCCCTTGAATCAGTTCGATGACTTGTCGAGAGCTGTCAATTCGGGAATTCCTCAGAAGCTTGGAACAGATGAACCTCCCACCTTGGGCCGTAAGTCCGAACTTAAATTACCCAGTTCTTCGTCTCTTCCCCATCTGTGCCCATTGGCAAAACTGAAAATTCCACGGGAAAATATTCCAATTTCAAACGAGTAGAACCTAACCTTGTAAAATTTGCCTAACAAATCAAGATACTCTCGCTTTTCGGCGCTTTTAGCAGCAGAATACCTACCTACCTTGTTTTCGTTTTGGAAGTCGCCTTTTAAATCGCAATATAGAAGCATCGCGGACTACCACCCGAACCTTGTTTGGATTCATTTCCTGAATAAATATTCTTGCAAATCGTCCATCAAATGACTATTCAACGAACCATCCACAACGTTTCTTGCGGCGTTCTTGAATTTTCGGTCACGATCTTCGAATCATCAAAAACTGAGCGCGAAATTGTCGGAAAAAGGAAATGCGCGAAATGACGCATTTAGGCTGCACACCCGTTTGCACGTGTTCCGCCGTCTTCCATGCGCGCCAGCCGGAATTATTGCAGTAGGTAATGCGGTGAAGGAGGCAAAGGTGATCATCAACTGAATCACCTCTCAATCACCGCACGTATTCATTTCATGAATGAAGAAAACAAAAATCGCAAACGAGCGAGGTTAACCGACCGTCCACATTTTGACAATCGTCGATTAATTATGCAATTTTCAGACGATGCGTGCATCCGAAATATCATTGAATGCTAATGCTTTCCTTTTGCTTCCGGTGTTTCATCATTTATTTTTTTGTTTTTCTCAATTGCAGGTCGTGAGGATCTCTCCCCTTCCAGCAGTCTCAACGGCTATACGCCGGACGGCAACGATGCGAAGAAGCAGAAGAAGGGACCCATCCCGAGGCAACAGGAGGAACTGTGTCTGGTGTGCGGTGATCGGGCGTCCGGCTATCACTACAATGCCCTCACCTGCGAGGGGTGCAAAGGTAAGTATGATTTCAGTGGGCTGGACAAAAAAAAATCGCATTCGATGAACTCACACTAATCATCTTAACCCCGTCCTCCCCCCCAAAGGTTTCTTCCGGCGAAGCGTCACCAAGAATGCCGTCTACTGTTGCAAGTTCGGCCATGCCTGCGAGATGGACATGTACATGCGGCGGAAGTGCCAGGAGTGCCGGCTCAAGAAATGCCTCGCCGTCGGGATGCGGCCGGAGTGCGTCGTGCCGGAGAACCAGTGCGCCATCAAGCGAAAGGAGAAGAAGGCCCAGAAGGAGAAGGACAAAGTGCAGACCAACACAACCGTCAGTACAACGAACAGCACCTACCGGGCGGAGATACTGCCGATCCTGATGAAATGTGATCCACCGCCGCATCAAGCGATACCTGTGAGGGTTTTTTTTTTCTTTTCACATAGGGTAGATGTTTCCGGCATAGCCGGTACACCTACCCTACCTATATTAACAGATTGGAACGGAATAATTTGATCGCTAATTGAGATTGTCTCTTGTTTTCCCCAACAGCTACTACCGGAAAAGCTCCTGCAGGATAATAGGCTAAGAAACATACCTCTACTGACGGCGAATCAGATGGCCGTCATATACAAGCTAATCTGGTACCAGGATGGTTACGAGCAACCGTCGGAGGAAGATCTCAAAAGGATAATGATCGTGAGTTGCTACTTTCCCCACACTTGTGGGAAATCCAATTTGATGACCATCTTTTTCTTTGCCTGCAGGGTTCACCCAACGAGGAAGAAGATCAGCATGACGTGCACTTCCGGCACATAACGGAAATCACAATCCTAACAGTACAACTAATCGTGGAGTTCGCCAAGGGACTGCCAGCATTTACCAAGATTCCACAGGAGGACCAGATCACGCTGCTGAAGGTAGGAACACCAAGATGACAAAAAAATTCACCTCTTTGAACTAACCGAAAAGATTCCCAAACTACCACTAGGATTAGTATCTTACGATTAGTGATTTGACTTTTTTTGGAGGTTATTCTCGATTTCCTTAACCCTCCGTTACTCGCGCCAGCTTTTGTAACACGAGTACTCGCGCGTTGTACTTTGTACAACAGTGTGAGTTTTCCATTGCCATTTTGCAGCCGAGCTACCAATCGATATGAAACCAACAGGTATTCCTTAAAAAACTTTTTTTTATCACAGTTAACCCCCAAAAAAATGCGGATAATAGAGAAAATGTGAATGGAAACCGCGTAAACGGTGTCCGTACTACGTGCAGGGTTGTTACGACAACGCGGATTTCGCGATTTTCGCGGATTTTGCGCGGATTTGCTTATCAGATTTGTTCTGACGCGGATTTGGCGCGGATTTGTTCAATAAAGTTTAAATTTTGTGTTATTTTTTTTTATTTATAAGTCTACATTTGATTAACATACTAATATACCAACAATTAGTTAAACGTAAAACATATTCAAAGAATGAGTAAATTACCATGAGCCTGTTTATTTTCATTGCCAGGGTAATTTATTCTCAGGTCCAGGGCAGTTAAATAGTTCCACCACTTCAAAAGCGACAAAGCAGCTTGCTTTTTAAGCTCTGACTGATGTTGAGTTGGTAACTTAGTACATCAAGTTGATATTACTGCTACCAGATATCAAAGAGCAGGTTCTTTTTGTGATAGGATCAGCAGAAGAGACGGAAATTTGAGACGAATGAGTTTATTCTTTTCGACACATATGATAGGATTCATTCATTTTTGGTTACTATGATGTCAAGAGTTTACAGTCCAGGAAAAATAACAGAAGCTATCAGGAACAAAAACTAAAAGAAGACAATTTTGTTTAGGATTCAGAAGTTATTGTTTTTCAAATCCATACTTGATGCTACTGAACATTAGACTGATGCAAAATTTGACTTTTTCGCTCCACAGTGCTTAAATGGTTTCAAATCGGGTCCTGATTAGCCTCCCAAAGTTACAACTCATTTGGTTGGAAACAGACTTCGCACAAGCCATTTGAAGTTTACATGTAAATTACTATGGGAAATCTCAACTTTTTGTTCATTGCCTTGCCAGTTCGATAGCCATTTTTATAGAAAATTTTCTCAGCTGCAACTTTGCTGAAGCTCGTTTCTATGTAAAACGAGACATGAAAAAGTTATTAATTATTTAATAGATTGGTAAACTTATGACATGATCAAGCAGCTGCTCTGTAGGCAACACTGTATTTTGCAGTATGACATAGTAGCCTTGATTTTTGTCTCCTATTCAACGCCCCAAAAACACCAATGTTGCCTGCTGAGCAGTTGATTGAGCATGATCATAAGACATCAGCGCAATGAACCATTGATCCTTGCATTTAATCAAAAAGTTGTCTTAAGCAAAGTTGTAGCTGGGAAAATTTACTTCAAGTACAGTTGAAAGTTGTTTAAGCAGACAGATATGGTGAATTATTAGATAGACATGAACAAAAATCTTGGTTTTACCATAGTAATTCCCATACAAACTTCAAATGGTTTGTGCCATCTCAGTTTCTCACCAAATGGGTTCAAATTTTGAGAGGTTAGTCAGGATCCGATTTGGAATCGTTTAAGTATTGTGGAGCGAAAATTTCAAATTTTGCATCACTCTACTGAACATCAATTCAAATCATCTCAACTCAATTTGAATGTCAAAGAACACACGAAATCTTTTGTGTCGTATTTGTTTGCCCAAGATGTTCCCAATGATTTTGTTCGATTTGTCAGTAACTTCAAGGTTCGCAGGATCATTAATAAGGATTCCATCAAGGAAATCGTCCGTTTAGTTAAAAACAATTGATTTCAAATTAGACAAATCTAAGATACACGAATAACTCGTACATGCAAGTGTGAAATTGGCAGGTCAAACGTTTGATTCAGATTGTGATTTGGAAATTCACGATCCTCTATTTCGAGATGATAGTTTCTCAGAACTCAGCACATTGTTTAACATTGTAACATGCGTATCGCATTCTAATGCAGAAGTAGAAAGGAAGTTTTCACTATCCAAGTATTTAATGCCAGAGAACCGAACTAGGCTTAGTGAATAGCAGTGGTTCCAGTCCTGGTCAGTTCACACGCCCCCACCATCTAAGTCGTCCCGGCCCTGAGTCTAGTGCTGGGGACAGGGCTTTCCAAGCTGCCATCCACGGCAAGTACCCTTATTCTTTCGACGTTGCTCTGCCTGATGCTGCCTCCACTTCCAGATTGCAGCCCGCTGTTCCATGCGTTCCAGCATCTCAAATTCTGCTATACTACCAGAACGTCGGTGGCATGAACAGCTCACTCGCCGAATACCAGCTAGCATGCAGCGACGCATGCTACGACATATACGCCTTCTCGGAAACCTGGCTGAATTACAACACTTTGTCAAAGCAGTTGTTTAACGATACATATTCCGTCTACCGTCAAGATCGATCAACCCTCAACAGCAACAAGACCTCCGGTGGTGGAGTCCTTCTGGCCATTCGCTCCTGCTTCGTATCTCGCTTACTGAAACCTCCTGAAGATTCGACGGTTGAGCATCTGTGGGTTGCAATTTCAACTCTAAGTGGTACAATCTATATCTGCGTGATATACGTTCCTCCCGACCGCGTTAACGACCACAGCCTGATTGAGAAGCATGCACTTTCGCTGGATTGGATTGTCTCTTAAATGGATGCCAGGGACAGCATCGTCATCTTGGGCGATTTCAACCTTGGCACTGTATCGTGGCTTAGCGATGCTCACGGCTTCTTCTTTCCTGACAATTCCCGTTTTACGTTCAGACCGGCTTCTCTCTCCTTGCTTGACGCGTATTCAACCGCAAGGCTTCAGCAAGTGAATGGCGTTCTGAATGCAAACAACCGTTTGCTCGATCTGTGCTTTGTCGGGGAGGATTTGGGACAAAGCTGCTCTGTTACCCATGCTCCGGCACCGCTCGTCAAAAACTGCAGACATCATTCACCTCTACTGTTGACGCTTGCAATCGATCCTGAGAAACCGTCTTCTACAACTTTCACAAAGGAGACTTCGAGCGAATGAATAACTTTCTCGCTAATGTGGATTGGAATGCGACACTAGACTCCGGGGATGCGAATCTGGCTGCCTCGACCATGTGTGGTATCATATTCTACGCTATCGATCAGTTTGTGCCTAAAAAACTACGGTGTAAACCTGCCAAACCCGCCTGGTCGAACTCTGATCTTAAGCATCTGAAAAAGGTGAAAAGGGCTGCACTGAGGAAACACAGTAATTATCACACAGATTCTACGAAGGCTAATTACGTCCGCGCCAACAACGAGTACAGAGATCTCAATGCAAGCTTGTACAACGCACATCAGTCTCACTTGCAGAGTCGTCTCAAAGCTAATCCTAAGGAATTCTGGCGATATGTGAACGAGCAACGGAAAGAAACGGGATTGCCGTCCAATATGACTGATGGCGTTACTGATGCCAACTCCGTCGCAGATATCGCCAATATGTTTCGCACACAATTCAGCAGCGTTTTTTCAGACGAAGTTCTTGATGCTCAGGAAATTGCTGCTGCCACGAGTAATGTCCCTCGTACGTCGGTGTTTGGTTCTCCATTCACCATCCACAGCGACATGGTGATTTCAGCCGGGAAACAGATGAAAACATCAACAGGATCTGGTCCAGATGGCATTCCCTCATTAGTACTGAAACGTTGCTTAGACACTCTTTCAGAGCCCTTAGCTAAGGTCTTCAACTTGTCAATGACCTCCGGAGTTTTTCCAGAATGTTGGAAGGATTCGTTTGTTTTCCCTGTTCACAAAAAAGGATGCAAGCAGACTGTCGCCAATTACCGCGGAATAGCTGCATTGAGTGCTATCTCCAAACTATTCGAGCTAATTGTCCTGGAAAAGTACTGTGCTCGCACAGTATTTCTCAGGATCAACACGGCTTCATGCCTAAGCGCTCGACGACGACTAATCTAACTGTTTTTACATCGTTCATTATTCGTGAGATTGAACGTGGCCATCAAGTTGACGCCATATACACCGACCTCTCTGCAGCTTTCGATAGAGTGAACCATGAAATTACCATCTCTAAATATGACAAAATGGGTGTTCATGGGAGTCTACTTACCTGGCTTCGCTCCTATCTGACTGGCAGATCTATGTCTGTTAAGATTGGTGACTACGCTTCTCCACCCTTCATTGTTACATCTGGTGTTCCTCAAGGCAGCCACCTGGGGCCATTGCTTTTCCTATTGTATATGAACGACGTGAACTTGATCCTCAAATCCCTTAAACTCTCGTACGCCGACGACATGAAGCTCTACTACGTAATAAAAGGGCCTCAAGACGCTCATTTCCTCCACCAAGAACTTGAAGTCTTTGATGATTGGTGCCGGATAAACAGGATGTCTTTAAATGTGTCCAAGTGCTCGGTCATCTCCAATTCTGAACCAACCAAAAGACCTTGACCTCCTGAACATCTTTGTCGTAGACAGTAACTTTCTATCTGATCAGGATCTCGAGATATAGCATATGCGAGAAGTGTACATGTATACTAACACCACGTGGTGAGAGAATTCTTAACTACTGTTTACCAGCCAAAAAGTCTTGACCCCCTAAACAACTTTGCCGGAGACAGAAACTTTCTAGCTGATCAGATCGCAAACTGTTGAATGTGCGAGATGCACCGCATAGTGAGAAAATTCTAAACTATTGTAACCCAACAAAAAGATCTTGACTTCCTGAAAAACTTTGCCGAATACATTTTTACTTTCTATCTGGTCAGGATCTAGAGGTATTTAATATGCAAGAGTTTCACATGTATAGTAGCGCCGCAAAGTGAAAAAAAAACTCTGAACTATTGTCCACCTGCGAAAAAGCCTTGACCTCCTGAACAACTATGCCGAAGACAGTACCTTTCTATCTGGTTGGGAACTCGAGATATTCTATATGAGAATTTCACGTGTATACTAGCGTCGCGTAGTGAGCAAGTTCTGAACTATTGAGTACCAAGCAATAGGCTTTGACCTCCTGAAAAACTTTGTGAAAGACAGTAACTTTCTATCTGGTCACATGTATACTAGCGCTACGTGGTGAGAAAATTCGGAACTACTGCCCGCCAGCGACAAGGCTATGATCTCCTGAACAACTTTGTCGGAGACAGTAACTTTTTATTTGGCCAGGATCTCGATATATTCCATGTTGTAATCAATTAAGTCAAATCCCACGTAGTATGGTCACAGTTTACGCGGTTTCCATTAACATTTTCCCTATTATCCGCATTTTTAGATGTTTACTGTAATCAAAGTTTAGCTTGTTTAGTCAAAACAAGTTTTTTGAGAAATACTCGTTGGTTTCAGATCGATTGGTAACTCAGCAACAAAATGGCAATGGAAAACTCATGTGTATTGTACAAAGTAAAACAGCGCCAGTAACGGAGGGTTAAGGATGTAATGTTCATTTTAGAACTTGTACAACAATTTGATTCATGGGATTTTCGAAAGAAAAACAGTTGAATTCCGTTATTGACAAAACTTTGTACTAACACCACTATCAGGTAGGGGAAAGTTAAAACGCGTGGGCGAGCTACCAGTTACGCCACATCGACGATCAAATGCATTGTTTACAAAAGCTGATACGTCCCTTAGAAAAAGTAGTCGAGATTTGCTGCAATATTGTTGCCTTGGTGGTTGGATTCAGCTCACGTCAGAAGTCACGTCAGTGGTAATAGCACCGACAAACCGACATGAATGACCAATAAGAATCACGTTCTCCTTTCGCATGTAAACAGTGCGCATAGCAGTGATCAAACAAAGTTCATGGTTTTAAAAAATTTCCACGCTTCCATACTACCAACATGGGTATCACTGCGATTTTGTTTGCCCAGCAACTCGGTCGCTATGTTCCAATTTCTGAACTCTACAGGAATCGGATCGTCCGAAAAGACCGGCAGCGAAATGTTTGACTGTGTAGACTGTGGTTCTAAAAATCCAGAATAACATTGAAAATAGTTTTTGAAGTTTCTACAATTTCTTGGAAGTTACATAAAGTTACAGTTCGAATAATATTTTGATAGATAGATTTGATAGATTCAGAAGAATTTCCTCAGCATTATACAGAAATTTTCCCGGAATGAGCTATAAATTATCGGTACTCCTTTGAAATTTCCACAAAATCCCTTTGGAATTCACTCCAAATTTAATTTTCTCGGTATTCTTTTCGGAATTATCTCGGAGCTATCTGCAGGATTTACTAGAAATTATTCGCAGAATTTTCATGGAATACTCCTCAGAAATCCCTTGGAACTGTCCTCAGAATTCAATATCCTTAAGGTTCTTCTCGGATTTTTTAGGAACTCTCCTAAGAGCTCTTTTTAAATTCTTCTCAGAGGTTCACTGGAATTATAATTAGAACTCTTCAGTTTTCTCAGAACACTTTGGAACTGAAATTATTTTAGAGTTTCAGAAAATTTTTCTGGAATGAACTAGAAATTATCCTCGGAATTCGCTTGAAATTTTGCATAAAAATCCCTTTGGAATTTCACTCAAAATTTTCACTGTATTCTTTTCGAAATTTTCTTGGAATTATTTGCAGGATTCACTTGAAACCTTTTATTTTGGAACTGTCCTCAGAATTCAATACCCTTGAGGTTCTTCACGGAAGTCAAGTTTAAGTTGTCCGTCCATTCACCAAAACGTTATAGTTTTTTCTACCAGAAATGTTCAATAAAGATTGCCCCTCCATTCACCAGAACTGTGCAATTTTTACATCAGGAATTTTCAATTCAGCTTGCCCCTCTAGACTGCAGATTGTTGCAAATCTTACACCATAAATTCAATACAAACTTGCCCCTAGGAGATTTTACACCAGAAAATTTCAATTGACCAGAACGATGCAAATTTTCTACCGGTAATTGGTGCAGATTTCCGTTTTCCATCTTCCACCAGACATTTTCAATATAGCTTGCTTCTCCTATCATCAGAATGTTGTAGGTTTTTCACCAAATACAGCTACAGATTTTTTATCATAAATTTACGTAAAGCAGCTTCCCCCAAATTATACAAATGGTGCAAATTTTACACCATAAATTTTTATCAAAGTTTGTTCCTCTATTCCGCAGAAGGATGCAAATTTAAGACCAAAAATTTTCCGAAAAGTTTGCACATTCAGATTTTCCACCAGAAATTTTCAACACAGCTTAATTTTAAATAAAGCTTGTGCCTTCATTTACCTGACCAGTGCAAGTTTTCCACCAGACATTTTCTGTTCATTTTCTTTATCAGAGCGATACAAATGTTGCACCAGAAACTGTCAATAAAGCATGCTCCTCCAGAAGGGTGTACCAAAAATTGTCAGTGAAGTTTGTTTCACCATGTACCTTTATGGTGCAATTTTCAGGTTTTGCCTCTTCATGCACCAGAATTTTCAATGAAGCTTGCATTCATCAGAACGATGCAAATTATGCACCAGAAAAATGAATAACCTTGCTTCTACATTCAACACAGTGTTGCGAACTTTCCACCAGAAATTTTCAGTTAAATGTGCACCTCCAAATTTTTGGCGTGATTCAATTTTTCCACCAGCGTTATTCATTTATGTTACATCATAATTTTGTAAGTGTGGAAATAAAAAGCTTGTTTATTAGGGGGGAGGTGCAATTGCCCCACCTTGCCCACCCTGTGCACGCCAGTGTCTCTGAACCACATTATACTAACAGTCGAGTAGAAGTACAAGACACTGCAGAAGGCTGCACATTGTAAACGAAGTACGCGTATCCGTCACGGATGAGCGCAATGAACGTAGTGGAATTAAATGGATATTACTAATCCTTCGCTGTTTCTTTATAATCGACTAACGACAATCTCCTTCTTCCCCGCAGGCCTGCTCGAGCGAGGTGATGATGCTGCGAATGGCCCGCCGCTACGATGCCGCCACCGATTCGATCCTTTTCGCCAACAACCGATCGTACACGCGAGACTCGTACCGGATGGCCGGCATGGCGGACACGATAGAGGACCTGCTGCACTTTTGCCGGCAGATGTTCTCCCTCACGGTGGACAACGTCGAGTACGCCCTCCTGACGGCGATAGTCATCTTCTCCGACCGGCCCGGACTGGAACAGGCCGAGCTGGTCGAGCACATCCAGAGCTACTACATCGACACGCTGCGGATCTACATCCTCAATAGGCACGCCGGCGATCCGAAGTGCAGTGTGATATTCGCCAAGCTGCTGTCGATCCTGACGGAACTCCGAACGCTCGGCAATCAGAACTCGGAGATGTGCTTCTCGCTCAAGCTGAAGAACCGCAAACTGCCACGGTTCCTGGAGGAAATCTGGGACGTCCAAGACATACCGCCCTCGATGCAGGCCCAGATTCAAAGCCAAGGCACCCAGTCCTCGTCGTCATCGTCCTCCAGTAGTAGTAGTAGTAGTAATAATAGTAATAGTAATGGTAATAGTAATAGTTCACAACACGGGCAGCATCATCCGCAGCAATTAACGCCAAATCAACAACAACAACAGCAGCAGCACAGTCAGCTACAGCAAGTTCACGCCAACGGCGGAAGTGGTAGTAGTGGCAATAATAACAACGGTAGCAGCAGTAGTGGTGGTGTTCCCGGCCTCGGCATGCTCGACCAGGTATAGCTAGTGTAGGACGCGGTTTCCGGGCCGGTTTCCATTCCACTGCTGGCCAGCGAAACCGGGTCGACACAAAACCACACAACCGCGGACGCGTCCTTCTCCGGAGAGGACATTCTTTTTATCGTCGACGGTTAGGAGGGACCGCCCGAGGGCCAAACAGAGTTCTTTGCTATATTCTCTACATACTTCTATTATTGTATAATGCTTTAATTTATTTCCTCTTTATTTTGTTTTGGACTTGATTTATATTCTTGCTGTTTTCCTTGCATGTAGGTAGGGATTTGGGCAGTGCTGGACACTGCTGGTGGGATTTTGACTTAGTGGCAATTGAGACAACAGAAAAGACTAAAAAAAAAAAAAACAAGCAGGAACAGACGAACTTCCCCCAAAACTCAACATTCTGACAGCATCGTCCAGTGGCACGGTTCAAAAGCAAGTGACTGAATTACATTTTTTTTTTGTTTCGTATAACTATTAGTAGGACTATTACGTTTAGGTTTTGACTTTTTCGCAAAACAGAAAAGTATTCCAGTACACACCCACACACATGCAGAAATGAGTGGAATCGCCAGTTTAACCTTAATACAAAAAGGAAAATTACGCAGCAGCACGTAAACAGAAGCAAAAGGGGTGTTCCACTGCGTGCAGACTTTACTGTAGTACTAGAATAAAGAACGTCGTGTTTATACTAAATATGACCGTTTATTACAACATCAACGCAAATCCTGGCGAGCTGCGAGAGAACACACTCTTAGTTACACATCTACCACCCCGCGACCCCCCCTCATAAAAGAAGAAAATATTCACCCTTAAACAAATAAACACACACACACACACACATACACACTCGTACAACATGTAAGTTTACAACAACGTTTTAGCTGGTAAGAATAAAAAAAAAAAAACGAAAAGAGATGGAAGAGGTTCGATGATTGGGCGAACCGCCGTCGTGGTCGTCGTTGGTGGTTGAGACGACCCCCGAATGAAAAAAAAAGAACAATATGCTGCCACCTCAGTCCGATCCTGCCCCATGCATGGTGGGTGCGGCTCGGGACAAACACAAATACACACATACACTTAAAACTACTGCTACTACTACTACCACCACCAACCACCATCACCACCACCACTGAGAAGAAAATGCGGCTCTTGGCGTGGGTTCGGTCGGCGACCTCTTCCGTATCGTTTGGCTGTGACTTGTTAATATTTTTAAGATGATACACACACACACACACACTATAATAATGTAGCAGGATGGAAGGAAGGTTAGGAAGGCGACAATGTTGGCTGAGAGTTCTTTTGGAGTGATTGGTGCACTACTAACAGCAGTGCGATGATTGTGTATTATAACTAGGTATTAGGTAGGCGAGCGAAAAGAAAGAAGTGCGTTGTGATGCGGAATGGAGTGTAGAGAGAAGCGACTCTATTATTGTACAGTAGTGCGGTAAGGTTTGGAGAGTAGAGAGCGTTTAGGATGTACATTTTTTGCCCCTCGAGTAGGTTTTAAAGTGGAGAAGTACTATTAAACGATGATGATGATGATGATGATGATGATGATGTGAGGATATGAGAAACAAACAATAGGAGTGCCGAAAGGGAGTGTGCGAGCAGCGTGGGTAAGAGACTAGGTTAGGACAGATAAAGGACACAAATCGAACGCCCGTTTCTGAAACTAAAGGGAGGAATCTAACTATCTTGTGTAGATCGGTTAAAAGGCAAAGAAGGTGAAGATGCGGAGGCGACAAAGGAGGATGGAGAGATGTAGGATCATTGTGGACCTGTTTTAAGGGCAATCTGATCAAGCTTGAATTACGAGAAGCAGAATTTTTCGGTTGGACTCTGGAAAGGAGAAGTGACCTGTGAATGAACCCATTTTGGAAAAGTAGGATTTATTGATTTTTTTTAAATCACAAGATTGTAGGTAACTCAATCGTCATCTTGATGATGCAAGTTGAAAGTCATTTTCACAGAAAATTATCGGACTACTTTCGCGCTTTGAAAGCCATTCTTGACCTGATTTAATGATTTAGCACCACTAGGTTAGCGTAACAGGGGTGGCATACAACTTTTACACTGATCCCGTTAGTTATTCTGTTCATTTGAGAGCTGTTTTTGGGCCTTTGAAGCACCTTAAATTGATACACATGGGTTTTACAAGTCTTAGCGTAATCTAGAGCGAGTTTGCCACCTTTGCCCCCATTTGTACGCTGCGCACGCTAATTTTTAAGCCGAATTTCGCAGGCTGCTGTTTTCGACTTTCAGAAATTTTTTTAGTTTCCAAGAATGAATAGTCATTCGAGCAGTTTAAAATGACATTTCCTACCACTCGAACTTTGCCGTGGAACAATATTTTGGTAACTTTTCTTCCAGAACCTTGAGAAAATAGGGTCTTATTTCTGCAAAGCTTGATAAATCTGGAATTTAGAGCATCATTTTCTTCAAATCGCTGATAGAACGTCGTTCCAAAACTGCTCGACAATATGATCAATTGGTCGAAAGTACTTCTGTAAATAATGGCTTCAAGCGTCCATTTATCGAAACTGCTATTTCACATACACAAACTGACACCACCATCGTAATATTCGAGCCAAGGAACCCCACATCATGCAATTGTGCATCGAATTCGACTCAATTTTTTTTTATAAATACTTTATTTGTACAGGCTCAATCGAATAAACTTTACAGAGCCGAGTTATCCTTTGCGTTATACATTATTACTGTCTCATGTTTAAGTTAAAGGAACTGGACCGAGTACTCGCGGTTGCCTCGAGGTTAGTGGAGATTTACAATTTTTTGGATGGGAAAAGAGAAGAAGGAGGTTTGAAATGTGGTTTACGATACAACTAGTTGATTAATCCTAAAGCATGAAATTATTTCTATTCATCTTGAAAACAAACATTGAAAAAAAAACCCCACTGTACAAAATACAAACTAAACACAAGGTTAATCAAACTTACAATCTAAGATTAATATCCTTAAAGTAAACATATATGAGTTTCATAAACTCCAGATCGCGTCTAGCCAAAATATCCCGAACTGGAACATTAGGTTGTCTGCCTCGAGCCAGCCACCACCACATTTGGGCAAGCTGATTTGGGGTTCTTTATTTGCAACAATCCGCGAACGGATGCGCTTTCGTTTCCGTGCAGAACCTTCCGGAAAACTGAAAGAAGTTCCCTCCTCAGCCAAGTCAGAGTCAGTCTCGTCATCTGACAAAAGAGAAAAGGGATTTTTGTCATTGGTCGATGGCGTGGCTGTCTTAAGCATTTCTGCAAAAGACCGCCTGGAACGTTCCTTAAGGGAGCGTTTCATTTTGTCCCCGAGCTGTTTGTACGCTGGGCACGACGAGAGAGCATGAGGAGGAGTTCCGTTGCAGTACACGCATTTTGGTGCGGTAGCTGCGCAGGCGCCATCCTCATGTTTCTCCCCGCATGTGGAGCAGCGTGCCTTGTTGCCGCAGTGGGAGGCCGTATGTCCCAACCGCTTACAATTCTGGCAGTTCATGACCCGAGGTACAAACAACCGCACAGGAAGACGAAGTTTTCCCAGCTCGATGTATTGAGGAAGGGCAGATCCAGAAAAGGTCACCCGAAACGAGTCTGTGGGGGTAAAACTCTTTTTACCCTCGCTGAGCTATACTGACTTCATTCTATGAACGGCCAGTATCTTTTCCGGAGGAAGCAAGGGGTTCTTGAATCGGCCAACCGCTTGCTTCTCCAGTATCTCGGGGTTCAGGCTCGCCTCAGTGACCACATCTTCGATCTCCACATCAGAGGCTGGAATGTACACCCTATATTCCAGTGTGAAAAACTGGGAAACAGCAATTTCATTGGCCTGTTTCAGGTTAGCGACGGTCACACAAAGTTTGTTGTGCCTAACCTTCGTTATTTCGGTCACTGCAGAGAATCGCTTTGTCAGATCATCAGATATTTGAACAACATTCAAGGGTTTGTTTTTGGGCTGAAAATAGACAACCCATGGGCCAGTCGAGTCATTCGGGTAGGCCCGCAATCTGGAGCTGCCCATTGACAGACTGAGACGACGAACCAGGGATGACATCGTCATTTTTCTGAGATGAATGGTCATCCATGTTAATCCAATTTTAAGTTACACTCATCGACCGGGCATTACATTAATTGTAACAAATGCATTTCATTTCAATGATATTCACCGGTTCACCGCTAACATTACATTGTAAACAAAACTATTTCCGAGAGTCAGTAAATTTTACTCTGTTGTGAGTTACTTTAAATCATTCGTATGGAGAAATCAGTGCCAACATTTCAAAACGGTGAAGTTGCTTTTGTAAGCAATGGCTAGCCGAGGGAGACGACTCTATCTACGTTGCAGGAAAGATTGTGTTTTGCTGTGGCTAGCTGCGTGCAAGCTGAATAGATAGAAAGAAGATTAATGACGATTCTGAAGATTTTCTGCAAAAAGATGCAAGTAGATGCAAGTAGATGCGAGAACTGAAAGAAGAGTTTTCGAAGATTGATTCGCTAGTGTGAACTTTTTTTGAGCATCTAGTATTGAGATTTAGATGTCTCGACCCCCTCGGCTTTAGCCGCCGATTTCTCGCGAATAGAAGTTAACACATGCAATCTTACGACACCATCCGGTAGAGGAATATTTCCTCTACCAGCTCCTGCCGCTCATCGCAAGTCGGTCCCATTTGCGTTTTTGTCCAAACTGATTTTTTTTTTCAATGTAGGTGATAGCTAATCACTCATATTTTCACAATGCTAGATGAACTTAACAACTTCGTTCAGGTCCCATTAGGTTACATAAAAAGCGATGGTGAGAATCAAACTTTAAACGCGTTTTACTCGGCTAGCTGATTTGTGCTACGGGCTGGCATGGAAAATCATTTACATTCATTTGTCCTTAACTTTTTTCATGAACAGTATTCCGCTAAATAGTGTATGGAGTTTTTGTAGGTTTTGTTATTAACAACAACGTTTGTTGACAACTCAAATCCGTATCTCTTATGCATGACGAACCAGAGCGAACAGAAGCCACTACTGTTTTTTAGTGAATGTATTTTACATTCACTGAAAAACAGTAACAAGATCTGCCCGCTCTAGTTCGTGATGCATAAGAGATACAGATTTGAGTTATGGGAAAAAGTTGTAGCTAGTAATAAAACCTACAAGAGCTCTATACATCATTTTGCGGAATGCTGTTGATGGAAAAAGTTAGAGGCAAATGAATGTAAATGAATGCATGAAATGAATGCAAATGATTTTCCATGCCTGGCTATGGGACGGACTTGCCATGAGCGGCAGAGTTGGGATCATTTAAACCGGCGGTTAAAGTCGTTGTTTACAACGGCAATTTCACCCTCATGAAACACAGCGCATGAGTAACCTACACGGTAAGAAAATTCGTATGGAATTTTCCACCCAAAAGTAGGTAAATATGATTATACTCAAGGTTGGGTTCCTACACTGTACTCTTTGTACTAGCCCTGTTGGGTGGTTTTGCTCCTCCGTTTTTCACAACATTAGAGGGGGGGATAAAAGGAGGTTAGGTTAGGTTTTCTTTAATAAGAAGGCTTTCAGCCTGGGGCTGGTTCGCCTCCAGTAGGATAAAAGTAGACAAACTCAAGGGGTATTCAACTCTGCACATCTACATCTGTTCCAAATTATTAACGCTATGCCGAATGTGTCGAAGTAGGCCGAAGTGTGCCAATCAAACTGTCAATATCCCATGAGTTTCGCATCCCTGAAGTAGAAATGACATTTGTGATTGTGTTAAAATTCTCATTTTCAGAGCAGAAGGTGAAAGAGACACTGGAAGCTATCAAACCTATACGGTGTTCAAGCAAACGCGACCGTTCCACAAGATTCTGACTCAATGTCAATTTGAATGACTGATTCCTTGCAGGTGTGCAGAAACGAAGTCGTAGTCTGATCGATGGAGGTAAAAAATGCCACCAGCATCCATTGAAGTCCTCTCCAACTAAAGTAAACAAAGAAACTCGAACGGTCGGAAAGATGAACGAAGGTCATGTAAACGACGCGTCGAGTACCTAGTGCGGACTCAAAGCCATCCAATGCAAGAAGATAGTTCGCAATCTCTGGATTAGCCGCATTGGAATCCGGAAATCTGTTTTGCACAATTAGTACTGATGCCTGGTTGTTCACAATTTGGTCTTTAGATTGGTCTTCAAGCCCATGAACTCTTGCTAAACAGCAAATTGCTTAGAGTTCTCAAACGGAAACCACTGAGCGCACCGAAACTCTTTCTGCCGCGAGTAAAACCCGATCGGTAGGCCACCAATCGCAACGGGACCTCTTATGATGAACAAGTTCAATAGAATGATGATGACAGAGATGCATCTGCAATATACCCGGATCGTAGATGACAGATGATGTCCAAATCGCGGAACAGACTGACTGTATTAATCCGTTCCAATGAATCCTGTACTATTGCGCTAAGACAATCGTCGATCGGTCCAGATCTGATGGAATATTTGGGGTTAATACATGTCGGCATCTACCAGCCGTACCGGGATTTTTTTTTCAAAATTCTATGGACATCCCTTCCCAGTCCTGTGGATTTCGCTGTGGGTCGTGTGACTCTCTATCACTAGTGAGGAGACACATTTAACCTCATCACTAGGAGAGGAACACGATTCACAGAATAGGAGTGTATGACAAGAAAGAATATCCGAGGAAAAACTCAGAAGTTGATGAGAAAAATTCCACCCCGGAAGATCCTCGGAAAACCCGAGACACGGACCTGTTCGAAAACTCCTATGATAAGTTGGTTTTTCTCTTTATTATTTATTCGGTGTTGGGCCATTAAGGTGATTCCTTGTAGAGTCTACAAATGGCCACCACGTAGGCTATACATGCACTTCCTCTTCGAATTTTCAATAACACACATCTTGGAAATTGATGCCCCATTTTACCTGAAATTGCTACACACTTAGAAAATATTACCGAACTCGGTTTGATTTCAACCAAGTTTTTATCTGCTGAACCCTCGGTAGTCTGTTCGGTTCAAAGAGGAATAACCGAGCTGTCATTAGTTCTTATTGTTACCCACAATCTGTCAAAGTTACCGAAAATCTCGGTTGACGAAACACAAATTTAAGCAGAAATAACCGAAATTAGGTTTACTCAAGAATTACCGAACGCTGTTAAACAAACCGACCCACCTGTTGTAATTACGGAATTCGGTTTTCTTAGGCAGCGCTCGGTTTTCACTTCAAATCCCACTATAAATTTTGATTAAGGATGCGTTGCTTCGAATTTTCATAAAAATAATACCAAAGAAATGTCAAGAAATGTCAAAGAAATGTATGAAATATATTTATTTAATTTGTTTTGGAGAATAAAAACTCCCGTAACGCGAGTTAAAGCGTGGAAAAGTACAGTCAAAGAAAATATCACTGACTTTGGAGTCATTCTTATTCAAATGGTTTTTAAATGCCTTTGCAAGCCAGAGACAAAACCTTGTACATTTTCACGGCAGTAGAGACAAACTATAGCACAAGATGCCTGCAAATAAAACCATACAGTTAGTTTCAAATACTTACAAAAGATTTCAGCCAAACGTGCATCCTCTTGTTACAGCTGCTCCAGAACTTTTTCCATTTTTACTCAAGTTTTGCACACGTCCGATGAGCACACGCGAGAAAAAATGGCTGACTAATTTTAGACTCAGCTTAGAGAACCGAGTTTTCGGTTAAAATTTCCGTCGCGAAGTTGAGCGCAAGTGGAACGTTTGACGTTTAAGCGTTTGACGTTTAACACGTTCTAGCTCGCGTTCTAGCGAATATTCGGTTCAGTTTACCGAGCTTCTCGGTTTTCACGTAGCGAATTCGTAAATGTCGATACTTTACCGTACTGTTCGGTTCAGTCTTCATTTCTATCTGTCAAATTTATACTCTTTTTTACCGAAATTCGGGTCTGCTTCGATAAACAATGGTTTTTAAACCATTTATTCGGTTTCTCGTTGGTAACCGAAGAGGTTCGGTAGAAAATTAAACCGAATTCGGTATTATTTTCTAAGTGTGTAGTTCATATATGCTGCAGAACAGCAAACGTTAAGTAACAGTTCCATTGTAGTACGTATCGTAGAAGCTGATATTTGTGCACCTAAAGCACAGAGAACAGACATCTAAGCATGACCAAATTTTTCGAAAAATTACGTGTTAGAATTCAAATTAAAATACGTTAGAAACACTAGCGCCGCCATACGCAATGTTGCGACTCGAGTTATCAGTTTGTGCGATTCATGAGTATTAAACTCAACTAAAATTTGGGTTGACCTCATTGACCGTGTATTCAAATGAACTGTCAAATCAGTTCAAAACAAACAAGACAAAACAACGGAAATCAATCGAGTTGTGTGATCAATGTGGTAAGATTTGAACACTGCTTACCTTGTATCCGTTCTTCCAGGAATTCGAAAAGCCTCCTGGGAGAAGTGGTCGGAACATAACTTTTCATTGCAAGCGCTTGGACTCCACGTGCGAAGAAAATCTCCTGTAGTTCGGGTAATTCCGAGGGTAATTCAGCATTCTTTGGAATATTGTGAAAAGTTTTTCGTTTGGTAACACCTTTATTTATTTGCGCACCAATCAAACTCGCATTTGCGGCCCATGTTTTGATCGGTTTTAAACAATGTTTTGCTCACAACAATTTTGACATTTATGTTAAGATGAGCGCCATCATGATATTGCTAGTTTCAAATGTCTATTCAAAAGAGCAGTTAAATTTCTTACACACTTTAGGAATTTGACTTGGATGTCTGTTCTCTGGAAGTGGTTACGAGAATAAGGATCTCAAAGCGAAACACGTTAATGCAAAGTACATTAGGCCGAAGTATATTTATAAGTTATTCTGCATAACACGCTTGTAAATGTAGCTCAACTCTTATCGAATATCCTGTCCTCTTTCGTTCCAAATCGATGATCGATTCCGGCCGTTCCCGTTTCGATTATGGCTTGGTTTTACGTGTTGGGCACCGGTGTCAGGAATATATCCGCCAGTCCGTGGGAGGTTTGTTAGACTTAGAACAGTAATTGTATCGTTTCTGGATTCATGCCAACGTTTTTTTTTGAATTCCGTATAAAAATTCACTGCAATTATAAGCTTTATTTCCAAGGGCTATTTGGAATAAAGACACAGAAACTCTTCCGGAAGTCTGCTCGACAACCGTTGAAAACAAACTTCTTCAAAATTTGCTCTGCAGCCGGTACAGTTGAGCCTGTTACACCAAATGCAAACTCAACGATTTCGGCAACCGCATTCTGAACTAACCCGTCGTATTGGACATGTGACAGACCTTCTAGGTATTTGACCAATTCTCATATTTGAGATATTTGAACAACACTCTATCGCCAAACTATGGTGTCGAGGAATATGAAATTGAACCTGTTCTGGACTCTGGACAAGCCGCAGGGATTTTTGCTGCGTATCGGATGAGATGAATTAAGGTCCCAGAGACAATACTGGGGCGAAGACGAACCACTTTTCTGTCAAACGCCAACCAGCTCATGATTAGCCGATTTGAAGTGCGTAAGATAGAGATAGAGATAGAGATTAAAGAGTAAGAAGCCAGTTGTCTCCTCTTCTTCTTAGGTTTGAATGGACTCATGATGCAGAAAATACTTACAGTACTTTTCGAAATGTGGCATGGCACGAACTTATTGAGCTATACATTAAAGCAGGGCTGTCATATGATCACTCAAGACACACACCCAGAAATAACGAAAGCTCAATGAGTAACCATCGCTCCGACGAGTCCGACGCAAAGAGCGCCACTCAGTGTAGGGTTGCAAATGGGAAACATAGCAAAAAGACAAAATTCTTCTTTGCCATGCCTTTCTTTATTTCCTACGCATTTAGTCGTGGTAAGCAAGGTCTGCAAAGAATTCAAAGAAGACATTAGCGCTTGTTGTATTATATTCGCTCCCTGCGCCGTACGGCGTGTACTGCTCATTGTGTGGATCGCTTTCTCACAGATTAGTTGGAAAAGAGTGTGCGAAGTAAATGGGAGAACCACACACTCTTTGTCGAGTGTTGTGAGATGCATGCACAAAGTTGCTTTACCAACGTTCCGAGGTGCTTTCCAGCCCTGCATTAGAGTAAACAATGTATGCATCCTTAGCAACCATTTGCAAAACGTCGACAGTGATGCCGTTTTATATTATATTTGTTGTGACCTACTAGTCAACGAGTGCCCTAACGTGCCGAACAGTGTGCCAAACTTGTCAAAAGTAGGGTAAAAGTGAATTGGCCGTTCACAGAAAAAAAGTTGTTGAAAATTACATCCAAACTGGTGTGTAGCATCTAATCCGGCAAACGCGGCAAGAAACGGTGTTGTAGCAAAGTTTTTAACGAAAGAGAAAGGGTGATAAAGAGAATCGATCAATGTTCGTCTTGAAATCTCAAAAAAGCTTCAACCTTTTGAAACTCAAGTTTCACATATGTTTTGTGCTAATGCTCAAATTTGTATAAACACGATGACGATCGCTTTTAGTCAAAATCATGTTATTCATGGTTACTTCTCCTTCTTCTGTTCAAATAGTAACAATTCGTTTGTTTTAAGCACTCCTCCTTTTTATGATCCTCGACGATTCCTTTTAAGAAACGCAAAAAAATCAGTCCACGCCTCCTAAGCGCGCAGAACCACGGAAAAATTCTACACCCCCCCCCCCCCAACCCAACTAAGATTTTGTAACAATCCTCTCCTAGCCTAAAGTTAGTTTCGTTTTTAGTCCAGTTATTTTCGTTGCTGCAAAGGCGCACTTAAAGCTGCAGAAAATGTGCAACCGATACAAGAGAAGATCTTATTTAAAGGCAATGTTTTTTTTTCTTTTTAGAAAAGAAAAAAAATAGTTATCAAGTTCAGAACACTGCTACTAGCGGGCAGAATTGTTTAGGTAAAATCCGTGAATTGAAGAAAAATGCGCCGACAGGGCAGGCGCGAAAGCAATATCTTATTATTTTTTTAAATTAAAAAGTGTCGATAGGAAAAGAAAAGCACGGAATCAGTTAGGAAACAAAAGGAAATGGAAAATCAAACTGCCACAATTTCACACAATCATCTTAAAACACGGAGAAAAGAAAGAGGAATTATATCTGATGGAAACAGAAAGGAAAAAAAAGAAGAGGATTCCGATTGGGTATTTGTGAGCAGTTAGCAGTGGGTGGGTGTGCCGTTTGTTCTAGCTCTCAGACGACGGGTGAGCCCAAGAGGGAGAGAGAAAGATATCTGTGTGTTTAACGCAATTGTTTGTTCGCTGCAACATTAGCAACCGAAATATTTCCCCTTTCTGTTGAAAGTGTAGGCATTCAATTCCGTTTTTCGGTCTGAATTTTTAAACGAATTTACAGCAACAAGCACGTATCAAAATTCGAACATTTTTTTAGTAAAATTTATTAGCAAAACTTTTGGTTGAAACGCGAAATAATTTTCCCGTGTCCGCATGGTTGCCAATGCAGCAAAAAATTAGTCAATTAAAGTCGGTTTGTTTTTCAGCCTCAGTAGTAAAAGGAGCAGCAACAAGCAACTTAAAAAAAATGAACAAAAAAGGGGATCAGTTTGGTCGAAAGTAGAATTTACGCTACTTTTCCAAGTATTAGTCAGAACCAACCAGCGAAACAACGGAGAGAGAATCGAGAGAAAGTGTTCGAAATAGAATCGGTTTTTGACGAACAAAACAAAACACAAGAAGTATATTTCGGTAACGGAGGTGCCTTCAGTAAAGAGTAAAACAAAAAAAATAAGATGACAAAGCGAGCGGAGAAAAGTAAACGAATAAACAACAACCAAAAAAAAAGACAAGAATAAGTGCAGTTGCTAGGAAAGAAATTAAAGTAGATGCAAAACCTGGAACCAGTTGAATTAGCCTAGAGCGAAAGCAAAAGTAGAGACGAAGACGGAAAAGGAAAAAAAAAATGAATAGACTTGTAATAGAGGAACAAACACACGCATGGACTGATACTGAGAAGTTAGGAAAATGGAAAATTTATGAAAATCTCAAAAAATACAAACAAACAAACAACCACACACACACAGATGAGAAGCGAAAATGAGAGCTAATAAACGATAGGATGTGGATCGGAATGAACCGGCAAATGCGCGCGACAGCAAGAATAATTGATTTGTAGAAAGAACTGGGATATGTGCAAAAATAAGAAATTTCTCAAATACTATTAATATTTGTATTAGTTACTATTATTATTGCTATATTATTTTATTTTATTTTTTGTAATAAAATATTTTTTAACAATTTCCGAGCTGTGTTTTAGTTAGCGTTAAAACTCGTTTGATTTTAGGTTGCTCTTTTGTTTTCTGTCTTTTCTTGTATTTATTTGTTGGTATGAGCATTACGGTTTAGGTTGTAGTTACTCTTAATGTCGTCATCGATCTGCAATCGAAAGTAAACCGATTTTCCATGTGCAAACGGCCGATTAAACCTCCTCAAATTTGAATTCCGTTCATTGAAATTCGCAAAAACGTAAGTCGCTCATAGCGTGCGTAAAATTTCCCTCGATTTTCCATGAGAACCCAAAGAGAGGCTTCACTCAGTCTATTAGTATACACCGAGACTCAGTAACCGAATTCAATTCGACTTAAGAGTAAAAACTGTTGTGGTGCAATCCACTCACCGTTACTTCTAAGCTGTCCTCCAATCGATTGAGCTGATTTTTTGTAGGATGACATTAATCACAATCAAAAAATCATCTCAATGAATCATATAGTCGAGCGGTTTATTGACGACCTTCTACCACCGACAAACCGACATGAATGACCATGGCAAAAACAAACAAAAAACTGACCAAAGCACACTACTGACATCTGGCCCCGTGTTCGCGGGAAATATTAAGCTAAGCCATGAACCCGCATGCAAAAGTTATGAATTGGTTCGTGCCTGATCTATTCTGAACAATTTTTTTTATCTAGATCAAAAAATCCTATGGTTTTAACAGTTCGGATCACTGCACGTTAACGATTTTCGGGCATAAGTCAGAATTAAGTGTCATGTCGGTTTGTCGGTGGTTTAGATACGATTCTCGTTTGCCCCATATCGCCTTCTTACCCCACTTTCTCCTATACTCATAGACTGAGTGAAACCTCTCTCGATTTTCCACCTATTCGAAAAGATGTTCCTGGATGATCGAGGAAAATTTTACTCAACCTATGAGCAACCTACGTTTTTACGAATTTAAGTGAATCAAACTAAAATTTGAGGAGGTTTAATCGGCCGTGAGTAATCCCACTTTTAGCAATTTTGAGTTGAATTCGACTCAGTAACTATGTTACTCGCATTGGCTGTGTATTGGGTACAACATTGCATACAACATTGAAACTGTTCAAGTTGCGAATGGGCTTGTACACTGTACAGTGTGCTGCATAACGAAAGGAGTTTGACGGGTACACGGCCGTTGAATGCACTTAAATATGAGTTCTTCGTGCTCAAATTGACCACTTTGTCAAGCAGTTTTGGCGTGACTTTCTACCAGCGATTTCACAAAACTGGACCAACTAATTTCTATTTTTTATGAAACGCACAAATGTTGGCTACTTTTCTCGTGGCTTTAGAAGAAAAAATCTCAAAATAATGTTTCATTTCAAAGTTCGAGTGGTAGTAAACGTCATTTTAACTGCTCGAATAAAGGGGTTAATTGGCAACTGAAACGCATGAAATTCATGCACGGCGAATGAGAACGACCCAAATTTGAGCTTACTGATAATCGCCAAAAGTGCAGGAACTCAGCGGTGAGTCAAATTGGCGAAAATTTTATTCAGTCTACACGGTAAGATAAAAGTACTCAACGGCCAGTTCACTTTTACCTACTTTTGACTAGTTTGTCTCAAGGTTGCAAATACTCATTTCAGCTAAAACAATGTTTTTTTTTTATTATGAAATAATTAGATACCATGATCATATTTTGAATAGGTAAGATACAAGAAGAGGAAAATGTGCAAAGAATGTGTTTGACATATTAAATCTGTTTATTTCACTTCATGAGAGTCACAATCAGCGATTTTTCACACACTCACTCAGCGATCAGCAAATCGCTGATTGTGACTCATATTAAGCAAAATTTACAGGTTTTATGTTTCAAACGCATACTGTGTAACCTTTTCTTGTAAGTTACAAGTAAAACATGTCATCATACCATCTTTTGGTTTTATTATTCCGAAAAACATTATTTTAGCTGAAATGAGTATTTGCAACCTTGGTTTGTCTCCTTATTTCCTTCTATTTTTGTCAAAAACGGAAAAGCAAAACCACCCAACAGGGGTGTAAATGAAAACTACTTTGACCCGCTTTACCTACTTTTGGGTTCCTGCACTATAGTGCCGAGATGAGTGAAAAGAACTTACTTTTGGGCACTTTTTTCTAACTGTGTAGGAGTACTACAAAATTTGTGACTGAGTGAATCCAACCTTTACACGGCGAATGAGAAGGACCCAAATTTGAGTTTAGTCAACTCATAAATCACATAAAGTGCAAGAACTCAGCGATGAGTAAATTTGCCTCATGTTTTCCCAGTTTTTTTCCACGATTTTCCAGGGAAAAATTCCCGAATTTGAGAAAAGTAAAGATTGGATTCACTCAGTCTATTGGTACTACTCCGAGACTAAACTGAACTAAACTCAAATTTGGGTCGTTCTCATTCGCCGTGTACATTTATCATATTCGAGAATTTTTCCTGGAAAAACCTGCCCTAATAAATGTGTTTGGTTATTTTGCTCAACGACGTGTTCAGGGTATCATCCCAACCATGTGTGGAATAGTTCAATAATTCGGGTTATCGTTCGGGTATGGCATTTTTATTAGGGTGGAAAAACCTGGAAAAATATTAGGCAAATTTACTCATCTCTAAGTTCTTGTACTTTATGCGAAGGGGTTTTCTACCAGCGTTAATTACCGGTCAGTACCAGTCAGATTATCAAATATTGCTCTGATTACTTCACAATTAATTAAAATTATTTTATTACTTTAAAATTACTTGTATTACTCTCGATTACCGAAATTACTACGATTACTTGAATAATTTATTAATTACTTTGGAATTATTCAATGATTAACAATAATTCCAAAAATGGAATTGTTGGAGAAATACGATGAAATACAAGCTAAATACAAAACTGGAATCATGTTATACTCATATTTCAAACTGAGTTAAAAAAAAGTTTCTTTGAAAAATCGGAATTTGAAAGTTTTACTATAAATACTGTATTTCAATATAGCAACACGGTAAGAAAAAAGTACACAAAATTAAGTTCTTTTCACTCAACATGTGGCTTCAGTGGGCTAGGTAAAATTAAGTTAAACAAGAAAACTCAATTTTGAGTAATCCTGATGAAGAATCCATTAAGTGAAAATTACCTAACGATCAATCGAATGGAATAGGTGAAAAATACCCAACGTACCACCATGCAACCGGTTTTTGTTGCAACTTTTTTCGTCACTACCCCCTACGGCTACCAAACACAAACGATATCATAGATGGTACGACCATACCGCATAGAGTTGGGATGATATCCTGAATTGGTGGTTAGGCGTTTCTTATGTTTATGCGGAAACTAACGAATCCTAATGCGAGGACTAATTGAGCAGGAACGGAGGCGATGGAGCACAAACAAATGACAGCGTCGATGGTTGCTATGATTTTCATCCAAAATTAAGATAAAAGTACCCAACGGTGATAACATAACGGTTGAGTGCTATTAACTGAAAATTAAGTTCTTTTTTACTTTGAATCGCAGCGTGTTTCAGTTAAACGAATGTATCGATAAATATTTCAGGATATTCTTCGTAAATTACTTTACGCAATACATTTTTCTAACATGTACATTTTAAACAACTACAGAAAGTACTAATTCAATCAATACAAATACTGTTTCGAGCTAAACGATGATAAACAGAAAATTAGCTTAAATTTGAGTTCATCTATTATTACTCAATGGATGAGTAAATTTGACCCATCGCCGTCTTTCTGATTCACTCAACGGTAGACCTCAAATGATAGAACCCAACGGTGAGTTTTTTTAAAACTTAATTGTGAGTATTTTTTTCTTACCGTGAAGACTTGCCTGTTGCTTTTGTTTTGATTTGCACGCTATTTAAAAACTACCCAAATTTGGGAAGAATCCACCCAGATCGGTCAAAACAAAACCTACCCAAAAATGGGTAAACATACATTTACCCAAATATGGGTAAACGTACCTACGACAGAAACTGGGAAACGGTTACTCAGATGTTGACATTTGATAGCAGGGTAAACTTTACTCATTTTAATAGAAATTAATTGATATGACCGCTGCAGTAGCTCTATCAAACATAACCTCATCCGGATAGCTCCTCTAGCCCGTTATTAATTGTTGAGTTCGTATTGTCGTAAAAATATATAACTACAGAATCCGACATTGAAATACCCAGAAAACTATACCGTTACAAATGCTAACCATTTATTGAGATTTGATTTTAAAGATTTCTATAAATTAGGAACAACAACAAACATTTGTCATCCAGAAAAGCGTCACAGAATACCTCGATAACCTAGAATTAGGAGAATGTTTAAAGTCCAGAAACTAACAAAATACTTACCAACTATAGCTGCTGGTAGCATTTGCCATGAAAACAGTTCCATATCTGTAAATTTTTTAGCATCAGATTTATAAATTTTGAGCTATTTTGAGCATTCAAGCTGGCAGCGCAATAATCTCTCTTTTATACCTGCGGCATTTTTTACTCTGGGAAAATTTCGATTAGAACTATGTACCCAGAATCTGGGTAGGTTCTACTCATCATAACAAAACTAGTTTACCCAGATTTTGACAATTCCTTACTGGATGCAAGAATGGGTGCCATCCACCCAGCCACTGGTTAGATTTAGAATAGCGTGTGGTTTGGAAAATACGCGCGCTGATGCGAATGTCAACTAAATTGGCAATCAAATCTCGCGCAACACGAGAAAAGGGCGTATCATTGTTGATCGATTCTCTTCATAGATTTTCTCTTTCGCGAATAACCCGACTGCAAATGCATTTCCTATTGA